TTGTTTTGTTTTGTTTTGTTTTGTTTTGTTTTGTTTTGTTTTGTTTTTTAATGATTCTTATTTTTTGATTCGTTCAATCAACAAACATGATATCGTCTTTTAACATGATATCTGTAGACACTGTGCCAACCCTGGGCTCAAGGATAACTGTGGTGAAAAATTACCAGCATAGGAAACTCCTCAATGTTCAAACAGTTCAATTCCACTGAGCTGCCCCATCCTACTCATGGTATCTGCAGGAATAGGAGGCAATGGGTGGGTGGGATAATGGAATTTTAATCTGTCCAGTCAGCTCGTTTACTGTCACATACATGCTTTTGTCATTGTACTTCCTATTTGCTTCCTTCAGCTCTCCTGAATAAAAGGCTGCTGGCCCAGAGGAGGCCAATGCTGCCATGTAGTCCAGCAGTGTAATAAACTTTTCTTATCCCAACTACAAATGTCTCAGTGACTCAGTTTACAAGAAATTCCAGCGATGTGATTAAATACAGAAGTATTTCACTCTGCATTATGCAAAAGTACAAACATAATGGTGCTTACAAGAATGCCATGAGAATGAGGGATCTTTGGCTATGAGACACCATTGTTAAAAAAATGAAATAAAAATATAATTGCCAATATAATTATTCCAAGAACACCACAATATTTGGGCTTCAATAGTCTACTAGAGCATAAAACGTGACAGCATAAAATCTCAAGATATGCCTGCCACTAAAGGTGTCCAGACACCTGCCAGGTGTGGACTGCCCAGGTTCATGACAGCTGAGCCTGGCACAGCCAGCCAGCTTGTTCATGGCGACTGCAGCGAAGAGATTCCCATAAAACCCTGTGCTACTCTTTTGAGAGAATGTCACACATGCATTTGGATTTCACCTACGTGATCAACTCAATGAGTTGGGAATTGAGGTGTGCTGAGACAGAATTCATTTAGCTTGGATTTGAAATTCTCTTGGATGTTTATCTGCTTGTTCAAATGCAAGCTTGGCTGAGGTCCACTGTACCTACTGTGCTAGGATTGTTAGAATTGCATCAAAACCAAAGAAAAAGTAGGTAGAATTTCCTATGGACTGTTATCCTCTGTGTCATTTCAAACATTCTCTGAAACAGGTCCTTCTACATAGAAGATCCATTTAGTCACATGACTGCATGAAACTTAGCCATGTGGTTAGAAAGTAAAACAAGAGCTTGTTATAGCAAGGAAGGAAACGAAGCAAACAAAACCACATTTTATTTCAGTTCGTTCACTGATTCTATAAAACCTTGGTGTTCCTCCGCACTGGATACTGGTCTAGGAAATTGGAATAAAGTGGTGAATAAAAAACAATGATGTTTTCATAATTAGGCTTATATTCTGAGATGAGACAATAAATATATAATATTCCAAATATGGTATAGAATTTATTTTTATACGAGTAATGTCAGTTGTTGCAAAATATCTATCTCAGTATCTCAGTGATTTAACCAAGAACGCTTTATTTTTCCCTCATATAGTGAGTGGTATGTTATGTGCTGTGTGCACTCCTTCATCTTGGAGCTAAATCATCCGGAAAATGACATCTGAAGTGACCATACCAAGAAACAATGGATGATAAAAATAGAGCAAAGACTGCCACCATTAAAAACCGATACAGGTGACTCCTGCTCAGATTTGATGAGTCAAAACTGATCACATGTCTCTATGCTAATTGCAGTGTAGGCTGAGCTGTCTAGAGCAGCACACAGATACAGATATACAATGGATGCTGACATCTGCCATAATATGTTAGGAAATCAAAACTACAATGGGAGCTTAAAGAACAGTGGAAAGGAGGTAGGCAGGTTAGACCAATGAGTCCTAAGCTGGCTGCACTGTTAAGTCAGGCAGTTAGGGTAGCCTCTAATCCTCATGTGAATTCAGAGAAACGCATCCCTCATAAAGGGATCCCTCTGCAAAAACAGGTTTAGGCAGGAGCCAAAGCAATAAAATCATTAGCAAAGGTGTTTTGCTTTTGCAAGGTGTGTCTCTTCTGAATAAGGGGGAGGGAAAAGAAAGTAGGGCCACACATCAGAGGAAAAATTCTAGTTTTCTTCCCCATCAGGGAGCTTTTCCATTTTGTATAATGAAGCTGGCCACTAGGATGTTGAAATAGTTTATAATATATAAAAGAAGACAAAAACTGTGGGCAGGATCACTGTCGCAATAAGTCAAGGTCTGGTGGTGGCAGTTCAACAAGAGTGCTACAACAAGAATGTTAGGAAGTCTGTGTATTGTGCTGATCTTGGAGATGTTGTGAGCAGAGCTCTCCAGCAAGCAGGGCAGTGTGCAGAAGAGAGGTGAGGACAGCAAATGCCATGTCTATGAGCAAGCAAGGCAAGATGCAAGAAAGAATCTGAAAGAATTGAGGTTCAGTGATGACCTTTGGAAAAGAATCCATATTGGAAGTCAAAGTCTCGTAAAAAACTATTGAGTGGACCATGAAGACAAAACCAAACAAGAAAAGGGTGTAAGATGCATTGACTTAATTCACAGCATGTCAGAGAAACAGGGTTAGAAGACAGTTTTTTGCTAAAGCAAGTATTTTACAAATATAGTGGGCTGCCTTATAGAACAAAGGCTGAGCTAAAGCTATGGAGAAGGTGGTTCTGTGAGAAAATGTGCTCGTAGCACAAACACAAGGACCTGAGTTCAAATCCTTATAAGCTGTGCGAGTTGGAGACAGAGTAATACTCATGTAATCTTCAACCTCCTAAACAAAATACAAAACAAAAATAGGGATTCCCACGACTCAGATACTACCCATCGAAAGATTGTGCTGACAACTGCTGTCCACATAGAGGAGTCTGAGTTGCTTTTGACTATAAGTGAATAATCCAGGAAGTTCATGTAACTGTGCTCTGGGAAACTTAACAGAGTGGGCTTTCATAGTGTACTGAGAGTGAGACAAAGCAGATGTACAGCCAGATCTCAGAGATTGACCTAGTATCATGGGAGGTGAGGTAGTACTGAGTCAACAAAAGAATAGTGATGTCACGAAAACAAGTATAACTCAGAAAATCTAGGTGACAGAGGCGGGGAGAGAGAAAGAGAGAGAGAGAGAGAGAGAGAGAGAGAGAGAGAGCAAGAGAGAGAGAGAGAGACTGAGACGAAGACAGAGACAAAGGCAGGGAGGTTACACACCTGAGCTTATGCATGTAAAACCCAGGTATTAGATGTCTTGTTCTTATTCTCACACCTATTTCTTTGAGATAAGGGCATTCACTTGGAACTAGGCTGGCATCCTATAAACCCCTGTAATCCTCTTCTTGTCTATGCAAGTCCCTTCTCTTTTTTTGTGTTCCTCAAAGCACATGGGTTATGGGACCATATGAATGGTCAGGTGTTTTGTTTTTGTTTTTGTTTTTTTGTTTTTTTTTACATGACTGGGTTCTTCATGCTTTCCAAGTAAGTGTTCCCAAGATAAATAGACTAAGAAAAGAAGAATAGCATGGGCAGATATTGTGGTGATATATTCATATGCTTGTCAAGACTGAGAGGTTTCACAGTGAAGGAAGAGGAATGGGAGAAAAGCCAGACACACAATTTGCCAGTGTGTGTCTGAGGTCTGAAAACAAGAGGAAATGATGTTCTCTCAGTGTTAAGTCCATAGAAGGACAGAGGCCTACCAACTACTAGTATCCATCTTGAAGTCCTAAGACCTGAGGCCTAGGAACTTCGATGATCCAGAACAGGAATGGATGGACACTCCAGGTAAAGTAAACAAATGGGTGTACCTTTACTCTGAACAGCTCTTAAACACCCACTGGCACAGGTAAGAGCAGCATCCCATATTTAGTCTTCTCATTCAGATGCTGATTTCTGAAAACATCCCACCAAAGCCATGTTAATTCAGCAACCCCAGAATCCCTTAACTCAGTTGACTTGATAATTATAAAATATTGTCCAACACAAAACTCTTCCAAAAGTTACTGAGATGGAGACTGAAACACCAAAAGGCAACACTGAATGGGAATGTTTCTAGTTCCACATACATGTCTGTGTCTGCTTTGACAGAGAAATCCCTCAGGAGCTTGGGTAAAAATTGATTAGGCATTCTGTGGATACGTATGAACCAAACTATGTAGAAATATTCAGAGTAATTAAAGGTGGGATCTTTGTCCTCTCTGTGACACATTCATTCAGAGGTTACAGTCCTTAACTAATGTACTCATTTCAACTACTTTCCTTCCTTTAATATCAAGTCTGAAACTTTATGATTTCATAGTGGGTAATGGCTTGAAGAAAGTTATAAAATATATGGCATGACATACTTTTACACAACTATAAAACCTTTAACAAATATAAAATATTTTTATAGACAATGCAATTAGTAAATATATTTAATGATTGTTTATGAGAATAATGAAATGAAGGACATTAATATTTTTGAAAGAAAAGAGAGACTGTTTTGAGATTTTGAAAAGATTACTTAACCATAATGAAAGCAAGCCCATAGTGAAGGAGTGAGCCGTGTGAGCATTTGGAGAGAAAATAACAAATCTAGAATACCATAACTTGAAAATCAATGTTTTGTGCAAGAGTTAAGCATCTGTAGCACAGTAAGTTGTAGTTAGGGCAGGCAGAACTTTCCTAATATCTTCCTTTAAGCATATTTTTTATTGAGAAATGTTTACATGCACAGAAGAGCACAAATATTGAGTGTGATTTAGTGAGTTTTGACGAATTTATATGCTCATAGAACCATGACACCAGTCAAGAGATGGGCTATTTCCATTACGACAAGATGTTTTTTTTTTTTTATCCATTTCTATTTGATTCCTTCACCAGATGAAACGGCTGGTTGATTTCTATTTCCATAAATTATTTTTGGAGCTACTATAACATCATGCAAATGAACCCAAACATACTGAATTCTCTAGGCTTTCTTATGTACAGCGTAATGTATGTCTGATTTCTTTATGCCATTGCATATGTCCTAGTGACATTTGAATCAAAGATGCCCCCGTAAGTTCCTATGTTGGAAGATATGGTTCCTAGCTAGACACTAGGGATGTTATGAAAGCTGAAGTAAATGGAGACTCATGTGGGGAAAGTTTGTCACAAGGAATGGGCCTTGAGGTGTCATAGCCCAGCCTGACTTTCTATCCAGTCTCTGCTTCCTGCATGCTGACACAATGTTCCCACTACGATGCCTGCTTTCCCACCACAATGGAATGTATCCTTAGACGTGAATCTGAGTGGGCCAGAAAAGGACCCTACCTAGTGTGGGCAGAACCTTTTGGTGGACCAGATATAAATAGATCCCAGTGAAAAGCAGTGCCTGCTGCCTGCTTACCTTCACTTCTTGCTGGTCAATGATTGTATTTTCCACTGACATCAGAACTCAGCTTCATCAGATACAAATGTAGACTGAAGATTAGTGACTAGCTCTAGGAATCTTCCAGGTCCTTAGCACTAAATTGGGACTAAAGAGGGATTTAATTTCACGGACCTGCCATGCATTGCATCTTTAATCTCTCTGATGTGTATAAAGCATTTCTTGTGCTACCCAGACATTAGGCTATAAGTCACTCTTGCAAATCATCTTCATAATATTTACATTCTGTGACTTTCATTATTACAGAGAATGTTGTCTAATATAATCTTGTTGTATTCAAGTTTTTGCTTCTTTGCAATTGTTTTATCTGATCTTTTATTAGGGGTTATTTCTATATCTGGGATATAAGCTCTTCAGGGTGTACAGATTTTGAATATTTTTTTTCTAAATCTGGCTCATCTGTTTCTTTTGAAATCAGCATCTTTCACTTAGTAGCTCATGTTATGATGCTATTAATACTCTTTGAATGGAAGTTTGCTTAAATTGTATCACAGCAGCTCATGGCAAGATGTGCTAGTATCTGTGGAGAATGAGAGAACGCATCTATTGTGGATACAACCAAGGCTATGCAGGTACTGTTTGAACATCTTATTTGATATTCAAGCCATTTCCATGAGGTTAGATGCCTCACTTCTAGGTAAACAATTGGAATTGTAGGGGTTAAGAGAGCTTTCTAAAGTGTGGTCTAATAGTTTGTTAAGTTCCATCCTAATTTAAAGTCTATGTTCTTTCCACTATTAAACACAATTTTTTTTATATTGAGGAAAGAAAATGATTTAATTTCACCTGGATTTTGATACAGTTCTCTCTGACACTGTATTTTTTTTTTTTTTTTTTTTTTAGTTCGCAACACCTGGTGCCATAAAAGCTACAAAGGTAATGAGTCACATTCTCTGAAATATAAAGTGACATTTTTCCCTAAAATTTTCCCCCAGAAAAAAAGGATCACCTTATATTTGAGTTTTAACAAAAATCTATCACATTACAGGGACACTGCCATTTCCTTCCTTTTAAGCAGTAAAAGTACTATTTGGAGAAAAATAAATTATTCAGAAAAAGCCTTCTAGTTTTGAATGCTTTTAATGGCCATCTGGTAGATCTGTTTCTTTTATTAAGCTAGTAAAAATACAACTCCCACGAAGAAATAATTCTATGGAAATGGTTCTACCTCTTGTGCTGGATTCGATGTTAGGAAAATGGTAAATACTACACAAATAATTTGCAAGTCTCGAAATTTTCATTATTTAACCCAGGAAAACTTAGATCTTGTCAAATAAACAATAAACTGAGGTCATACTGCATTCTCAACTCTATGTTCCCAAATGTGATTCAGGTACCCTAGTTGATTCTAATTACTGTCCCCAGAAACCTCTGCACCAGGAGTAGCAATACAGGGCACTTTTGCTTATGTTATTGGTCGACTTCCAAACAACAGAGCAGATTTGCATAGCTCCAAGCAGAAATTGTATAAGTAACCACTTTAATGATATTTCCACATGGCATTTTACATAGTGTCTGCCAAACAGCTCACAAATAGAGAAAGAGAACATGGTAAAGATGTGACCTTTACTAGAATCTCATGGAGATGTGAGGCACCTTGCTTCTGCTAGCATTGTATTGGCCAGGATCCATCACACACTTCCTGCCACCTGGTTAGAAAGGGCTGAGAAAATGCAGCATTGGCTAGGAAGCTATTTTCTCATGATTATTCTGAACCCAGGAAAGTAGAGCACATATTTCTGGTGCACGCTAGCTGATTCTGTAGCAGTTGTCATCTTAAACAAGCCTGTTAGCGATCTATTGAAAAAGCAATAGAGATCACATATATGCACATTTAAGATGAATAAAATTCCAAATATTCCAAAGCTGGGACTTCAGATAAAATTTTCAGTAGCAGCTCCATACATAGATATAAAAATTGTGATATCTCATACTAGACAGCAAGATAAAGTGGCATGGAAAAACTGCATTCAATGATTCACAGTGCTGTTGTGGCAATGGCAAAGGTGCTGATATAAAATGTTATGTGCAGAGTTCAATGAAAACTACAGATATTTGTGTAGATGAATAACAATCTCAGTTACAATTCTTAAAAATGCATCAATTAACTTAAAACTAAACAATAACTAGGTTTTTTTTTTTACTAACTCATTTGCCTGCTTAAGACTTTATCATTAAAGGTGCATTGTAACACTTAGTAGTCATGCAACATGGTTTGGTCATGAGGTCCACAGGTGGAATCATGTGGCTGAAGAAATTGTAGAAAGCACAGGTCCTATAAATTCCCATCACCTCTTCATGAGAGGCAGGTGTCTCACTCTATGTACAGAACTGAGTATGTAAAAAGCCCTCCTACTATTGCAACCTGACTCCACTGTGAATATGAATATGTATATATACATATATACATATATATGCATGTATATGTATACATGCACACACACACGCACATGCACACGCACACACACACACACACATATATATCTATATGCATGGCAATAAAATCAGGTTAATAGAAAGCAGCAACAAAGGCTAGAACTTTGAGTCTATCATGACTCTGTAATCTCTCCCCCATTATAAAAGGAATAAAAGCATCATCTGACTCATGAAAGTGATCATCTCATCTTTCTTGAAACAGTTGTGGAACCAAGAAATAGCTTTTGGTGGTCACTTAAACAGGATATACATTGAACTACCAAGCCAGGCTTTGATTTAAACTACAAAAGGGCAAATGAGAACAAATGTAAAATCCTGTGTGAGGTGACACAGCTTCAGAGTAATTATTATAGACATAATGAAGTTCATTGAGATGTAAAGACTTTGGATATGGTTAATATTATTGGTGCATGTTGTTTTTGATTTGCAAGTTGTTTATAATAAAGCTGTAATTAAAATAATTTGTTTACAAAAAGAAGCCCCCCCCCCAGAGTTTTATAGCATTGACCAAGGCTTGCTATTTAGATATTTGGGCAGCCAAATTTTTTAATTGCAATATTTTTAGTTGAAAGATAGGAATATTGCAACATTATTTGATTTTATATGGTATAGACACACTATAAATATTATGTAAATTCCACTTATAATGGGAGAAGGATTACAAAGCCATGATAGACTCAAAGTTCTAGCCTTTATTGCTGCTTTTTAGTAACATGATTGCTAGTCATTCCAAACACAGTTTAGAACTTTTATTAAATTTTATTTTCTTTCTAATAGGTTCTTTTACCTTTAAATAAATTATTATATGTATATGCCTGTGTACATATGAGTGAATACCACATGAAAACAGGTGCCCACAGAAGCCATAAGAGGGCTTTGAATCTTGTGGAGCTGGAGTTTCAAGCAGTTGTGAGCTGCCTGAGATAGGAACAGTGAATCGAATTCTGCCCCATGGTAATAGAAGCAGCACACATAACCACTGAGTCATCTCCTCAGTCCTGCTATGTTGTCTTTGCAATAATTCTGTGCCCCTATTACTTCTTTAGTGATGTTGATTCTACTTTCAGAATCAGTAGCAAAAGAAAGGAGAGCACTTGTTTACTAGGCTGTGTATAAATGGGCTAGACCCTAAATCCTAGGGCATTGCCCTCTGCTATTTGCATTTAAGTGAAACACATTAAAGGCACAGCCGTTTCCTATTGAATTGTGCAACTAAAACAAAATATTTAAACAGTTGAACAAAGCATGCTACCTATGTCTGCCAACACAAATGTTTACATTCAAGGCTAGTCCTTACTCTATCCATGAACTTCCGTCTTCAATTGCAGAGTAAATGTAATGCATCTGATACATTTCTTCTCACTATCTGATTTTCACTTTAAGTTTTCTTGTTTAAGACATATTAATGTACAAAACTCCAAGAAGACTTCAGAAACTTTTGGAACTGCTGCTGTAATAGAATGGACTGAAAGATTCACCGAGCACTCTCCACTGCCATTCACACTTAAACAGCATGCACACTGAATCACATTTGTACACAAGATAAATTAACAGGGGGTGGCCTGGTATAGCTCATAAGATAGAAAACATGAGACTCAGGCTAGAGGGATGATCCAGTCAGAGCACTTGCAGAGTGAACAGTCTCCTCTCTCTGTGTGTCACTCAGGACCAATTTCCAAATTTTAAGAAAACTCTTCAGGGTCAACTTCCCCTAGGTCAAGACCACACAACAGTACAATCTTGGCCAGGGGACAAGACTGACAGGATACCCTTGGTAGCAGTTGTCTTCTGCACACCATGGCTGACCAAGAAAGGGACATGATCTAAGACAAAAGTAGAGCTACACAAGAGACTGTTCTTTTACTAGCCCTCATCTGATAAGAACATCTTCTCTCTCTCTCTCTCTCTCTCTCTCTCTCTCTCTCTCTCTCTCTCTCCATACCAAATGTTGCATCCTTCCTGGTCACCCCTCCCTTTGCTTCTGAGAGGGTGCTCTCTCCACCCATATACCCCTACCTTACCCCAGCCAGCACCCACTTTCTCTGGAGCATCAAGTTTCTACAGGATTAAACACATCCTCTCCCACTGAGGCCAGAAAAGGCAGTCCTCTGCTACATATGTGCCTGGGACCACAGACCAGTCCATGTAGGCTCTTTGGTTTCTAAACTTGGCTTTCATAGTATCCCAAGATCTATTCTTCCTTATACTATTGAGAATCTTCCATTTGACCACATGGTTCCCATTTTCAATCTTTTGTGTTTCTCAGGCAATCTATGAATTTATATTTGTTTACTCATTGAAAATTACCCATTTATCAGTGGGCACTGAGAGGCAAAGGCGGACAGATCTCTGAGTTCAAGGCCAGTCTCGCCTAAAGAGCAAGTTCCAGGACAGCTAGCAAAGCTGTCTTGAAAAACAAAACTCAGAACTAAACTATAACAAAATTACCCATTTATAATAATAAACAATGCACACCATGAGTTGACAATTCAAGATTACCACCCAAATCTATGAGTTTAAGTCTGTTTAGGATTTGTACTATGAAAAATACCTAAGCATAATGGTTATGGCCCAAATAATCCAAGACAATGTAAGATCACATAAAGTGAGTTAGCACATCACATAGGACCATTCTCTAGAAGGGACAGGAGAAATAGATTTGCATTTGATTTGTAGATTTGAGTTCCTCTATAGAAAATAATACATTACTAGGAATCTCAGCATGAAAATACCATTGCTTGAGTATTCTATAATTTCCTTTCAATGTGACAATTCCAACTAGATGTTCATTATACATGTATTATACATACACATGTACACGAAATGTACATATACACACAGTTACAGATATATGGAGACAAAATACATACAAAAATACAGATTAATAAAGTTCTTAGCATGAATATGTGTAAAACCACTCTTTTAGATTGATATGAAGCTAGTCTCAGCCAGTGAGATGTGTCAGTAGGTAAAAGCACTTTCTATTCAAGACAATTGACTAACCTTGATTGTTGGAACCTATAGTGAAGCATGCGTGCACACACACACACACACACACACATACATACACACACACAAGTACATACAATAAAATAAACTTAATCTATATTCATTTTTAACAAATGGCATATCCATTTTCACACTAGTTTTGTTTGCAATTTTTGTCATTTTGAGACAAGGTCACATGTATCTCTGATTGTACTTTAACTCATTCTGTTGGGAAGGAAGAACTTGAAATCTTGGTGCTTCTGCCTCTATCTTCAAGTGTTAGAAATATATCATGTACCGTCATCTCCAGATTGTGCTTTTGTTATTTTTTTTAATATCATTGTGGAGCAGGCTGTACATGAGAACCACATTTACATCATTTCCGCCCCTCACTTCAATGCCTGAGTGTCTTCCAGTGTTTCAAATAGTAAGTCTGAAAAAACCATTTTAGCTCAATATAATAAAGTACATCTGTTGGAGTCCAAACACTAAGAACATTAACATATAAGTTAGATGCAAATTTAGGTACTATTTATACCATTTTACCCATTTATGGAATGCCAAATACAATATTGTATGTATGTGAGGGAGTCATATACACAGAAGATTCTCACGAACTTTGAAACTCAGCTTCATTAACCAATTCTTAGTACAAGACAGACAAGATTCCTGACAGAAGACTTTTACATGGGAAATACATGACTAACATGAGGGTGATTAAGAGCATATTATTGATATATAGAATATTCTACTATCCCTACAAAAACATCAAATGCTATCTAATCCATTTGAGGGCCTGAACTGTCATGTAGCTTGACTTTGAGTTTTTGGTGAGAATGGAACCTGTTTATTACACCTTAGAATAGTGTAAAATGTAGCTTAATCTAATCATTCTGCCTGAGTATGGAAGTATTTTCTGCCTTATAGTGAAGAAATAGTTCATATTATTATTGATTCTCCCATAATATTAAGTTAACATCTTTAAAACTACTTCCTCTAACATTTATCTTTGTCTTGAAGAGCAGAATGCAGGAAGGATATTATTGCTAAAACAAGAGACCTAGGAAAGCCAGTGAACAAGTTGTGGAACAGATTGCTTAAGTATAGGTAGTGAAGTCCATGAAGAGAGGTGTAAAAAGAGACTCTCCCACAGTCTCTAGCCTCAGTGAACCGCTACACTCACCTTTCAATTAAAATGCTTTTCTTAATTGAGAATTACATTTCTTTTTGGAACTTTAATGTTCATATTTGAAAGAAAGCAAAATAGATATAACCCTGTCTATCCCCTCCCATGACATTCTGTAAATCAATCCCATGGCCCTCAGTCCTTACCCTAACCTGGAGTTTATTATAGTAAATTCCTAACTCTTCTTTTTCAGATTTCTTCTGTCAGAATCATCTGTACTCCCAGCTGCTACCTAAGACCCAAATATCGCTATCATCCTGTCACAGCCAGCCTGTGGACTAGTTAGCTAACTTGAGCAGTAAAATCCTGTTGTGATCATGTGGTCACGGTTTCCAAGAGCCTGCATCATTGCAAAGCAGCATCCCTTGTGCCTAGTCAGCAGCTATTCCACAACAAAGTTGCTCTCTGGGTGTATTTTACTTTGGGCCAAGAAAAGGCTCTTTTCCTGTTTTCATTTTTCAGTTTTGTTTTTGTTAGGATTTTGTTTTGTTTTGTTTTGTTTTTCTTTTTTGTCTAAATCATATTTGTCCACCAATCCAATCTACAAAGTTTTACCCTAATTTGATTGGTATTTCTGCAGTCCACAAATTATAAGAATCATTTAGTCATAGGCAAAAGAATTCCTCACTTCTGATTTTGAGCTTTAGAATGCCACTGCATGTGACATAAACACCCACACTCCACTTTCTACAAGACATGGGGATATCGCTGACACAGAATCTTTCCGATAATAGAGGCAGAGAGCACACAGTGGCCTGAATATCCACCTCGGTGACTACATTTGCCACCAACTTTCTTTTCCATGGAGCTCCTGACTACAGCTAATAAGTATAAAAGATTCACACCTGCCCATTTTCATGTGAACCCTACTTTAAAGCAGAAAAGCTCTTGAGCAGATGAGGTAAGAGGTGGGAAAAATTAACATGTCAAAGCCTTACTCCTGTTTCTGAGGTTGTGATAGAGTTATGAATAACACAATATCATCTCCCAGGACAGCCCACTGTCCCTTTCCTTGTTTCAATTACTGATCCAATTTGTAGTTTTCTCTGAGTGCTCATAATTTAGCATGGCATTTGCAACAATTACTGTGTCTAGAACTTATCCACAATGTTAATGTCACTATAATAATAAATAATAAACTTACTTATAGTGATTATACTTTGTTTATTTGGAAAAGCAGAAGTCAATGTTAAACTTTTAAAAATTGAGTGAAGTTTTTAAAAATCTGAAAATAAACAAAATTTCAACTTTAAATATTGGTCTAAATTTTTGACATTTTTAAAAATTAGGACCTATAGGACTAGTGTGTGTCTGTGTGTGTGTGTGTGTGTGTGTGTGTGTGTGTGTACACATATATATTTATGATAGGTAATTTTGAATACTTCAAGATATAATGCAGCTTTTAAAAAGTGATTTTTTTTCTCTTTTTAGAATCATTGTGATCTTTAAAATATAATGACACCATTTCCATTTTTCCTGTCCTCCTCCAATTCCTTCCTTTGCATCCCCCATTGCTCTTTCGCAAGTTCATTCCTGATATTTTTAATTTTTTTTTAATTTCTAGTTTATGTATTTATATTGGTGAACTGAAGTTGAAAGTAGGTTAAAGTATAAATATCTTTTTATTAATTACTCTAAGTCTTTATTAAAGCGAGAAAGAAAATCATGTGAAAATTCTGATATGAATATCCAGTTAATAGATTTGTTACAAGGAAAGAAATAAGAAATCTTACAGAATATGTATATTAGGTTATTATCAGTATATTTATCTTGTGATCATCTAAACCCTAAATACATTACTGAAATAACATTAATCACAATCGAAAGTAACTAAAATTAGTCTTAGTATTCTGTCTCTATTCAGCTAGATGACTGCAAACAGCACAAATATCTTGTTTCATTCTGATAAATACTATTTGTCAAAAATTAAGAAATAAAATTTTTCATGCTTTTCAATGGTTTTCTTACTCTTAGCTAAACAAAGGCAATAATGTAAGGAACCTTTGCTTGTTCGATATCAGAATTTACAATTGTGATACTAGGCATAAAAATATTTCACTTCCACCAAATAGCGACTTATGCGGCAGAGACCTATCTTGATCTCTTTAGCCTCTCTAGTGCGTGCCATTAGTCATTATTTTGAGCAGTCTGTCAGGATTTAATAGCTATTAATTGATTTTAAAAGAGATCAGAGGAAATAATTATGAGTTAATTCAGAATTAGAAGTGCTTCCACTCTAAGCTGTTGATGCAGGCTGAGCATGGTGGCAAGAGCATTATGTCTAGCCATGGAGATGATGGCCTCCTGTGAGGGGCAGAACTATAGACCTGGGAGCAAACAAAGGTTATTCTAGTGAGGTTTTATGTGGTTACAGCCTGACAGAAAGCTGGTGAGCAAGTGCCCTCCTGACAGAATCGCCAGGTTTTACAGCTGTGCAGCGATGCTCAATGCTGTTTAATTTGGAAATGAGGTGAGTAAGAAGCAGGTTCTCAGAAGCACATGCACAGTTAATCTTTTGTTGATGTCACGTCAAACTCTTTCATTTCCAGACCTTCAAGGAGTTTGCTCAGAATCGATTCTGTGGTGAGCAGAAATGAGGAGCTGCCCCCACCTGCCATTGCTGAAGAGAATAAGCATGGTATTTAAAGCTAGTTGGCATTTCATGACTGCCACTTTGCTATTAAGTAATAGCTTTATTTTTAAAAAATTGACTAAATACCAAAGACATTATTTTACAAAGTTATTTAGGTTTCACTGCTTTTCAAAGTCTGTCAAACATCAGCTAAACAGTTTAGCTAAGAAGACTGTACAGTGACCCTAAAGCTGCAGAGGTGTGTTACATGTGTTCTTTGCAGACAGTAGCCTGGTTTCTCTCTTCAGTTTTTGGTGATTTAATAAGTACTTATAAGATGATGTTTAAAATTATTTTTTCTTGGAAAACAAAATTTGCAACATCCTTCAATGATCCAGCATACGATTTTCTAGAACCTGTGTCTTCTCACTATCTATTCATACATATACATATACACATACACATACACATACACATACACATACACATACACATACA